GAACAATTCAATCAAATTGGGATGAACTGATAGTTAATGAGCTTCCTTTCCCCCTCAGGTGCATCCGCATTTCAAGCCATGCAGTACCTGCCTCACCAGCAGGCTGGCTACCCCGTTCACAGTCACTTCACCTCCCAGCCAGGTAAGTTACATTGCTGTAAATGTCCTTGTGTTCCAATTGCTGCTTCAATCTTTCTGTGTATTTAATTCTTTTTCCACAAATTTCTCAGAATTATTGCAATTACAGCCAAAAAAATTACAGAATATTTGCTGTTCGACTATATAATAGATGTTTTGTTTGCGTATCTCCTGCAGGATACATACCTGGAGCAGGAATACCCCTGCAGAAGCAGCTGGAACATGCCAACCAACAGTCTGGTTTTACTGATGCAGTAAGATTATATCATATTTAGATACTCTTAAAGTCCCATATTGTGAAAATTTATTTTTATTGTGTTTGGAGGTTTAAAATAAATACTGTTGAGATATTAAGATTTTTACTTCTGCAAGCCCTGCCACAACAGGAGACCCTTCCAGCTTTATAAGCCCATAAAAATTTGACTTAAGTGCACTTATGTACCACTGCTAACCAATAGTCGTGTAGCTTAAACTTTTTATAATCGTACCCCCTCACTGCCCGCTATTCGTGAGGTGAGCCGCCTGCAGTCTATCAGCTGTGTTTAGAGTTGCTTCTGCTAACTATAAAGCATCTCAGCCGCAAGCAAAGCACAACAAATGTCTTGCTGTTGGCTGCAAGAGCGAACACGAGTATTGACATGCTCCCAGCATCTGAGGAACTGAAGTGGATTACCTAGTTTTGATTGCACATCATCACAACAAATGAAAATCCTTAGTGTTAGCATGTGTGGCTAATATGTCTAACATTACCTTAAGCTTTAGTCAGAGGGTTGTATTTATCAGACTTTCTTTTAAAAGCCTAAAAATCCCAGATAATAGGTTTATCTATAAATTACAACGATGGTTAACAGCTTTCTTTGTTGACCAGGTTTTCTTAATCTCGTCCCAAAAAAGGGAACGTCATGTCACTATTGTTTCACACATAATGGACTATGTGCTGCCCTACGTAAGTCAAAAAAGTGTTACTATGGAGAGCTATAAAGAACATAAGTTTGTTACGGTAAAAAGTGCAAATGACAAGAGACAAAAATGTTGGTCTAAAACGTTATTGTTTAAGTTTCTATTTTTTTCCCCATCCAGTGTTCTGCTAATGCAGCTGCTGAACACTAATGTAACAGCAGTACATTAGAGCCATGAAACTTTAAACCTCATTCATTTAAACAGGATGCTCAAGAAGTGTATTTAGGTCTGACACGTCCCATAATGACGGATACGTGGAAATCACTCTAGATTTTGGCCAAATCAAAGTGAAATTATTGCTATTGATTGCATATTCTCTGTAATAAATACCAGTTGACTAATCAGTTTTTAAAGCTTTGCTCTATTAGCTGAAATCCACCGTATAAAATAGACTGAGCAGCGAATCAGGACCTAACATAAAACCATATTTATGAATGCATGTAGGTTCCCCTGGCAACACTGTTACTGTTACTGCACGGCTTCGTTCGGTGGGATTACTAACGTACCGCTCAACAGTGTTGCACTTACAACATCTTCTCTCAGTTGAGAATCTGTATTGTTCATAGAAAACAAGAAGGAAATGAATTTGGTAACATTGGGGCACTTCTTACAGCTGATTTAGATTTCAAAATCTAAACATCACCGACTCTGGAGCAGGTTAGCTGTGCAGCATGCCATCGTTGTGATGTTAAAAAATGAAGCGCGGTTACACACTCAGTCATGTCAGCTGTTTAGCTCTGCACTGCTAATCACACATGCAGAGAGAAGTTTCTTCAGCAGACCACTGGTTTACAGAGGTACAGATGGGTTTAAACAGGTTTAAAAATCATTTTATGAGCCCAAATGAAGCGATTATCAACATGTTACTGTGTAAATAATCGAAGCAGCTAGCCTGGAGCTGCCCACCTGCTCTGTATGACCAGCTCCTCATGTTTTGTGTCCTGTTGATGTTCTGTTAGGGTGCTTTGAGGCCTATGCACCCCCCAGCCATGCATCCTTCTGCTCCAGGCCTGCTGCCCACACCATCAATGGCGGTCCAGATTCCTACTGCAAAGGTGAACCTCCAAAATAAACAGCTGCTTCCACTGTCCCTTCCACTGATCTTCATCTTTCACTTCAGGGACACTGAATTCCAGTCACTTGCCACCAAAGTGTGTGACACTCTGCTCTTTACTGATGAACCTTTAGCTACACCTGTAGAATGGCAGCTTAGCATTTCCTCCAGCACCATTCAGAGGGAAAACCTTTTCACATTTATTTATGTTATGAAGAACAGAATTTAAAGGTACCTCAATTACATTTCATCTATCCTGCATTTTTATTTATTTCTGGGATTTCATGACCACTCCAACCTCACTATGGCTGTAGATAAATACATACAAGCCTTTTTTTCTGTTTTATAAGTTACAACGGTGTGTTAACCTTTCAGTACATCCAATCAGATTAGGGCTGAACAAAGAAGCTTAAAGATGAAAAAGGAATTGAGCTAAAGGATATGTTAATCAGTGGTTTTAAATGGTGTATGTTGGCTTTTCTTTTGTATGAAATCAACACTTCTTGATCATACATTAGCATGTGGGACAACTTCCAGTCTTCATGTCTGCTCTTGTTCCATCTCAACATTACTCTTCCTGTGCTGCTGCTGCTTGTGTTCCTAATGTGCGCTTCATCCTTTCAAGAAGAAAAAGAAAGTATATGAAACACTGACTGTCATCTTTTTGTTCTGATTTGCATCTTTCCATCCCCAGGCCCCTTTCCAGAGCTCTCCCCAGGGTGCCCCTCGGCACAGCTTCCTCTCCCACAGCCAGAGCGGGCAAAGGTTCTACCCCCACAGCAAGTAACTTATTACAACGTTCAGCATCACTGTCGCTGAGATCTCACACCTTCGCTCAAGATCTTGAATGTTTCATGGATCGACATTTTTTTTTAAAAACATGACAATTAGGCTGGATCGTGCCATATGATTTGTGCTGTATTCCCTGTATGGTATCTTTTTTTGAGCTTTGTTTTCACTTTTGTCAATAAGCTAAAAAAGGAGTTTTTAAACTTGTGTCCTTCTGTGAACAACATACTTTGAGTTTTACATGACTTCAGTTTGTAAAATAGCTATTTTGCCTACACTTTGAAGCTTAATGGAGGAGCTTTATGTGCAGAATTGTTCATTTGTATAAAAAAAAAAAAACGTGTCCAAACCAATCCCTTGTATTCAGTCACATCTTTGCAGTGACTTTGCTCAATAAAAAGTAGCAAAAGGCAGAATAGAATAAAACTTTGAGGAACATTTAGTAGGTGATTTGAATAGTATGTGGATAAATTTCTGCCGATATGCACATTGATGAATAATCCTCCAGCTCTTAAACACTGTTTCATTGTGTTGCTTACTTCTGGTTAATCACTTTAAACCTGTTAGATCGCACAAATGACCGTTTTATAGGACATTGATGGAGGATTTCCAGTGTTTTCCGTTGTTCTCTGCAGTATAAGTCAAGTTTACGACATTTCTGATTTTAAGCTTTTGCTTAAATGTTACTAAATAAACAGTAAGCCACATTCAACAGTTTGTGTCACCTTTATTTTTTTGGCGATGGAGACATTCTGCACAGTTTGGACCAAACTGTCACAACTTGTCTGCCTCCTGAATCACTGAGTTTCAGAGTACATCAAATGATACTCCAGTTTTTTGTCTTCCGAACAGCTGGCGCCCGGTGTCAAGAGGCTTTAAGAAAAAGTTTTGGCTAAAGGATTTTTCAAACAGAATTTGCATGTTCTCAAGCAGGCCTTTTGTTTCTCCTCAAAAGCCTTCAGACAGAAAGAAACTGAACCCTCGGTGTGCCATGTTGGTAACCTTTTTGTTTAATAGACAAGTTTCAGGCGATAAACAGCAGAAGCAGGGGGCTTGTTCAGATCAACTGCTAAAAGAATAGTGCTATACAGAAATACAAAATCGAGTCATGTATTCAGTCCTGTATGGCACAAGCTGAACAAGCCTCAACAGAACAATGCAGATCTAGAGTTGAAGCCCTTGATAAATCGGGAACATATTTTTTAAAAAACAAACAAACAAAAACAAAGCAGTTGTGACATTTTCAACAGCTTGCCCTGAAGGTAGGCGGCTACAGAATATTTGTAGACCTACTCAATCCTTAGTCAGACCTTCCACCACTTCTTTTACATCTGTATGTCCGGACTCCAATGTGGGTTTGTTATGTGTGCATGTACATAGAGAATGTTTTTTTTTTACTGTTTAAAATTCCCAATTGATTATTAAAATTCTCTAATGGAGCCCAAAGGAGGATCAGAAAACAGAGTGAGGGAGAGAGAATATGAAAAACAAAGACAAAAAAAGAGGGAAAATAGCATTGACGAGGCAATATCCCCTCCTTTTCCCCCAGGTCCAGTGCATCTCGATTGCCCCTGAAACAGAATTACAAAGGAGAGGGGGGAGGAATGAGAAGAAAAGAGGAAAGCAAAGGTCAGGATTCACAGAAGGAAAAAAGCTTGAGAAAAACAAGAAAATATACACAAGGAAAAATAGATTTTAATGTGTTTTGCCTCCGCAGAGGAAACATTGCGCAACCAAACAGCTTTAAAACATACTCGTGGACACTTTATTCTACAGCCCACAGTTTGCAGGTGAAGTGCAAGAAAGAAAGTGCATAAAGAAGTCTGACACAACAATTACAACGTTACAGGAAGCAACTAGGCTGTAAAATGAAGTGCAACCCACATAAAGAAAAAAAAACCAACAACAACATTGCTCAGACGTAAAATATAAGCTCTCATTTATAATCGTACATTTAAAAAAAAGGTACACATGCTTGTGATAGTGTTAACATGAAAGTATATTAAGGTCCCATATGGTGAGAATCCATTTTTATTTTGTGGTTGTTAAAAACTTCGGCCATATTTCAAGCCTCCCACAGATTACTTTTATTTATGATGGCAACATCACAACAATATGAGAACCCTTAGTGTTAGCACATAGCACGGTTAATGTATTATGATCATATTTCCACAGGTTAAAGCTCTAGGGAAGCTGATCCAGAGATAAAAGAACTGATTTTAAATCTGGCAAACGAGGAGTAAATGTGAGTTAATGTGTTTTTTGTTTGTGCTTCAGTGCAACCTAAATTCAGCAGGCGTATCTGTTTGCTTCTCTCTCTATGCATATATGCTGCATTTTCGGATCTTGACGTCACAGTATGCGACAAAATCAGCGTCATATGTGTGCGACCCCTGTTTACAGTTGGGATATTGTGATAGAAAGTCAATATTTTTAAGTTTTTTACTTGTTTGTACCCTAAGGAGTAGCTCCACTTCTCTGTCGGTCCAAACAAACGACTATCGCGGCATTATCGTTGAAGTAACAGGAAGTAATTTGTGCCATTTGTTGTTGTGTTTTTTTTTCAGGATTCTGATTGGCTAGCATCTCGTTACACTGCCCCCTATAGGTTTGGCACGCTGAAACGACATTTAGGAGTAGCTCCACTTCTCTGTCAAACAAATGACCCTCGTGCCATTATCGTTGAAGTAACAGGAGGTAATTTGTGCCATTCATTGTTGTGTTTTTTCCAGGATTCTGATTGGCTAGCATCTCGCTACACTGCCTCCTATAGGTTTGGCATGCTGAAACGACGTGTTTATGTGGGGTTGTGTAAACGAAGATTTTTTTGAAAACAATCTGATGTGAACAATCAGTTTTTGTAAATACAGGGCTATGTGTAAACTATGTGGCCTTACTCTGCTCTGTCAATCAAGTGTTTTCTACGGTAAAGGGGCGGGGCTAGCAGCAGGTCAGTAACTCAAACCAGGCTGAACCAGAGGTTATACAGTCACGGTAAGAATTAACCAACTTTTTTAGTATTTTGAGCTGAAAAGACACACTGTGTGGACGTGTGCCATTGCCATCAATTTGCTGATAAAGTGCACAATATGGGACCTTTAAGGGGTAGGCAAATCCACAGGGGGCACACTGTTCAGTTACGATCCCGTCATACAATTGTTTAAAACTCTCATTCAATTTGCTATAATTTGTCAGTCGTCCAGCTCAAACAAGATATACACAAAAAAATCTAGAATTACGCAATGCATTAATATGAGAACACTTCCAGTATAGTGGATATGCATAAATGTAGATGACACGCTGTCTTTTTTTCCATAATACTGAAGGTTAAATCTAAACAACACACCTCAGCAAACAGCCTTGGATCTTGATGACTGGAGTTGCCTTCCCCTTTCTCCAATGATGAACAACATCTGTACATGACATCACACACACACACACACTGGCATGGCACATGCTGGTGGCTTTTGGTGTTAACACCTGAACGCACATATGGGATTTTTTACATGACACACACTCCTCTTCAGGCAGGCTTGGGTCAGGCGATAGTTGTGGAGGGAAGGGGAGGGTGACAGAACAGCTACGTGCTCAAACAGCTGTAGCTCTGCATTTACCTTCAGTGGCTTATTTACCCAAGGCTTTGATGCCAATTGCAGCTTCTTCCTCCATTGCATTTAGAACGGTGATCTGAAAGCGCAAAGAGGGATCAGAATGAGGTGTTTTGGTTAACCCCCTGAACCCCAAAACCCAACAGCAGGCTGGAGAGGCATGTTATCCTTTAAAAAAATATCTTAGATAATGGACAAAAAAAAACACAAAAAATATTACACCATCTATCAGAGTCAGAAACAAAACAGAAAGAATCGTCGGATTTTCACTCTAATGATCTTTGAACTCATCTGTGTTGTGTCCTGTCTGAAAAATTTACCAAATCTAAACTTAAAATATTGCAAAGTCACTTTATTCTAGCATCGTATTTAAAAAATCTGCCTCATAAAATAAACCGTTTGCTCTGACCAGATTCATTGTGCCCCTATGGATGGAGGGGAACAACTCATTCAGGTTGTTCCTTCTCATATCATCACATTCTTAGAACAATTTCTGCTGGAGCATCTCTGATTTGCCTGAAATTTTTAATCACATAAAATATGGATATTTGTATCATTTTAGCTCAATACAGCCATCCAAAATGTTTTCTGTAATTGCACATCAACCCACACATTGAGTTCTGCTTCTCAAAATATAACAGAATTGTATTTATTTGTGTTCAAAGATGGGTATATTTTTCATTTTTGGAGCTCAAATTGTAGACGTAAACCTCGGTTTGAAGACTTGTTGTGTGGTTTTGTGTAATTTGTTTGGGAATTATCACTGCGTTAGTTCATGAAGATGGCAAAACACTTGATTTAAATTTCACAGATTTTAAATGTACGTAGTTTATGATTAAGTTTCAAGCAAATCAGAGATGGTCGAGCGAAGGACCCCTGATGATTTAAGATTTAATAACCCATAGTTAAAAATGAGAAAAAGACCCAAAGGAAGATTTTGGCTTTAAAAGATGAAAGTCTGTCAAATAAAACACTGCTAGCCCAGGACATCCCATCACAGAAACACTCAAAGAGAAATCTTCGTTGATCATACTGGATCAGTAAACATCAGGTTTGACAACTTGGAGACGTCACTCGTAGGGATAAAATCAACCTTTGTTGCAAACTTGTCTAGAATTACTTGTTTAGAAGAGAAGTGAGGAGATCATGAGACACACCCCACCACGTCGGAAAAAAAGTTACAACCAGCTCTAACACCCAGAACAAATTGGAAACAAAATATTCCAGATTGATTAAAAAATGTGGCCTCTGATGGAGCCATTCAATCATTCGAATGTGCTGTAAACTATTTTATCTGTGTCCAAATGTCCCTGCTGTTGGAGTTGTATTTGTGGAGATATTAAACTCTTAAAAAGGCTTCCTGGGTAAGTTTTGGGGGTTTTTTGGACAGTCAAAATATGGAAATGCTGAAAACACATTCCAATATTTTACAGAAATTAGTTTTGGTTTCCATACAACACATAAGTAAATTCTAAACAAAATCATAAACTGTGCAGCAACATATTTTCTAAATTGTGTCTGAACTGACACAGAGTGACCCACATATTAAACATATAGATGCTCTGAAACTGAGATGCAGTGGAAGAGGACAAACCTTTTTTTGCTAATATTATTTAAAATGAAAATTTCTTTCCAGCATATTTCCACTTTAACAGATCCAAGTAGTCACTTTATAGTCATAACTGGTAATGTTTTGATGCTTCACATCACTTAGTTAAAGATATAATCCTGACTTTGATAATCCAGACTTATTTTGTGGTGTTTAATCTTAGTTTATCGTGTACAACAAAAAACCGAAACATCGTCAACTATCGTCAGTTAACTCGGTGGTTGATCATAACATGCACTTAAACACACCGTAAAGCCAAAACATGAGTACAAGCGCACTCTTTCCGGACAAGTTGGCACGGTATAAACTATTTGCAATCATGTGAGAAACCTGATGCCCTACTCTGACAAAAGCTCATAGGTGCACAAACCAGTAGGACTATGCATAAGAGCTAACGCCTTTTAAGCTATGATTACAGCTCTGGCCAGACACTACAGAGCTGTATCGCCTCCCAAAGTTTTGCAAACGAAGCAGACGTCCCTCAACTCTTGCGCTCACTTCCAACCCCAAAATCATACTTAAATGCACAAAGCAAAATTAGTGCATGTTCGTAGACGACTGGTCTTACTTTGCCAGCCCATTCTGTGGTACACAATCATTTTTCATTTTCCTTTCTGCTACAGGTATTGCTTTAAACCAATCAGAGTCGTCTTGGGCGGAGCTAAACGAAGGATGGGGCCCTCAAAATAATACTAATATCTCATTTCCTGCAAAACAAACAAACAGGGCTGCACTATCCAAATCCAAAACTTGACATTTTTCAGGTTGCTGCTCGGAGGATGTTCTTGTTTTCCGTAGTAAAAAAAAAAAGAGGTAACACACATTAAGCGGAGGAACAAATGAGCGATGACTGATACCCAAACCTACATGTGGTGAGTCAGACCAGTAACCACTTAATATGATTTTACAGTAAGCTGAATAATGAGTCAGTCTGCCCTCTGAGCCCCCTGCTGTTCATCATACGAGCAGAACCTTTGGCTATCAGCGGTAGAAATAACTTCCAAATGATGACATCATTTTGTTTCTTTTACAGGCCTTGAATCTGAAAGAGCATCTGTGAGCTAGAATTAACCCGACTAACTACATTCGACACCCTTTTTTGTGACAATCATGCATTTACTCCTTCACAACTAGATGCTGCTTTTGTAACTTGGACAAGGAAATATACCTTGTTGCTATAAAACACTTGTATATTGACAAGGCACCTACAAATCAAGAACGTCAGAGAAAAACTTTAACATTTTGAAACATCCTGATGACTATTAACAACTAAATCTGACACCAAAAAGTTGGCCTCCATGTTTGTAAATGCGTTTCCAGGTCAGACAGCTTCACCTAACAGCTAGTAAACTTAGAGGTAGAATTTTTAGTAGATGCTTTGGTTCAAGGTCTTCTCTTTTGCTAAATTTATGGCAGACATTGGGCAATTCAGTATACGATTAAAAGTAGCTGAACATCCTTAATATGATAGTATTTAAAGACACCATTGTTTTTCCAGTTGGGAAAATGTGGTACATGTTTACTGCAGTTTTGGTAAAATAAACAGTTAAAGAAATTCACTGAGATTAACGGGTTGGTATGTTGAGGTTAAGCTGGCTAGATCACCAAGATAACTTAAGCTGCACACCTCAGCCCGCTCAGGAGGTGGTTATGTTCAGAATATTGGATTTAAATCAGCCGTAATTACCAAATGTTTTCTAGGGATCTTCTCTACAAGCAATACATATTCTTGTGTGCACACCTGTTGAGTTGTAATGTCCCTGAACAAAGTCGTGCAGTTAGACCGGCTTAAGCTGCAATCAGCATGTTGCCACAGAAACCTGCATAGATTTAATCAGTGGTGCAGAATATGTTTTTATCCTTGGTCCTAATTTGTTGCCCAGTCTGTTTTACATTGCAAATTAGAAAACTGATTAGTATGTTGGGATAAATGATAGTAAATATTCAATCCTTCCTTATGGGACAGTGTTAGACCTAAATGCACTTCTTGAGTATCATACTTAAATCTATTGCGCTTTTAATGTGCAGCTGGCACATTAGAAATAAGTCGCCGCATTGAGAATACACTGAGTGGTAAAATAGCTATACATTAATAACAATTTTCTACCAGCATTTCCCTCTTAACTTTTTGCCACAGGGATTTTTTATATTCCTCACAGCTCTCCTTTCTAACAACCTGTTACTCTTGACTGAAGCATCATTTGTGATACTCATAATCTCTTACTAGGATTTTAGGTTTGGTCAAGCCAGCTTACTCAAAGAAAGCCTGACTATGTTGAACTTGATCACAGTACGCGCCATCAGTCCACTCCATCACTTCTGTGTCACTTTTTTTGTTTGGCTCTAAAACTACCACAGCACAAATAAGCCTTTCAATTATTGAAATTTATCGCAAAGCAGCAACATTTGAGAATAAACCCGACGGACAGCGCCGTGGAAGCGTTGTGGCCCGCATCCGAGTTTCAGGATAGAAAACCACGCATGAAAAAAGTGGAAAAGACTAATGGGGGCTCAGTACTGACCAGGATCTCCTCTCCGGATTCGTGCTTGCTCTCTATCTCTCTTCCCAGGTCTCCCTCAGGAATCTTCAGGTCCTCTCTCACCTCTCCGCTGTCCTGGAGCAGGGACAGGTAGCCATCCTGGATGCCAATGAGCTGGGAAGGGGAGAAAATGGTGACACCGAAGCAGACGCTTTTAATGAGAGTAACTAACCACAGGGAGCTGTCAGTTTTCATGTATGCGTCATTCAAACTTAATGCAGCAAGTTTATTTTTCAGCCACTAAACCTTGTTCCGCCCGGTGCCATTAAGAACCGTTTGCACTTCAGGAAGTTAATCCTGTGTCTGTGTGGGCCTGTAGGGGGATCGACTGTAAATCTGAACGACTGCAGACATGAATATCCTGACATAAGTGTGTGGGAGCACTGGGACGGTATGGTTTCACTTGTGCTGGAAATCCTGCACCATTTGCTTTTCAGTTTGGCAAGCTATGAAGATTCCACTGCACAGAGCTTGTTTTAACCAAATCAGTTTGATCAGCAGCTACATGACCCTCTTTGGCAACATAGAAGTGGTAATCTAGTTCTTATGAGTAAATGATGGGCTTGAGATTATGTCAATAAAATAAAAAAAAAAAACAGGCATTAACTAATTATTTTGTTGGACTGGCAGTGCACGGTTACATATCGACCGACCCTAATGCATCATGAAAATATTTTCAGTTTGACTCATACGTACAAATGCATGACTTTATCGTGTTAAATCGGAAAATGAAACAAAACACACACACGAATGATGTCTCATAACCAGCATTTCCCCCCCTGGCGTCAGCTGCTTCCCTTTCTTTGTGTGTAAATTTCTGCAAATCGTGTCTCACTAAAGAAATTCTCAATCAACTCATTTGGCTTCTTCAAATAATCCTCCAACAGCTAATTGTCCCCCAGCAGCTATGGAAGAATTATCTCTGAAAACGTTGGGCTTATTAAACACCAAAGAACAGTATGATATCAAAATCGTGACTGTAATTTTCTCTTATAATCAAATCAAAATACTGGCTAAGAGAAGACGGATCACGTTTTCTGCCCCATGAACATTTACACAGCGTACCAAAAATGTGTTTCCTCGAAACTCATCCGTCTCACCTGGTAATCCATTCGCTTGATGTTGGGTACGTCCATGTTGTGGGTGGAGGGACAAATATCTTCATACTTCTTACCAGAGAAGATGTCAATACCGACCAAGTGAACCTGCACAGACCAAACAAAAAGGACAAAGTGAAAAAAAAAACCCACAAGTATCTTTTAAAAATTCAGCCCCATGTATAAAGCAATACTCCAGTTACCTCCTATCCCTAAAAAGGGATCATTTATATATTTTGGAAAGTGCTCAGTATGTTTTGAGAGATGTAACCCAGCAGGGACACATTAATGTTTTTGTACAGACTGAAAGAGTCCATTAATGTGCATGAATATGAATAACGACGACCCTGTGTCTGTGTCAGAGAACAACAGATGATGGTACAGTGATAATTCGCTGACTCGTCTCCTTCAGATAAAGCTGTCGTGAAAATTCTTTCAAAGCTGCACTACATTCGTATCGAAGTATTTCCATGTTTTTTTTACTGACCTTAGCGTGGCCATGCTTGCCGGTCTTGGAGGTGGACATCTCAACAATCTTGCAGGGGCGGCCTTTCAGCAGAACAAAACCGTTTTTGCGCAGGGCAGAGCACTGCATGGGGTAGGTGGAGGACGCCCCGGCATCACCCGTCTGAAAGTCCAGCTCTGCATCTGCCATGCCTGCTGCGGAGACACAAACAGGTTCAGGAGGAATGTTTATTGGACTTCAGGATCAAACCCAAGTCAAAATCATATTCACTAATAACAGAACTTTTTTTTCCCCCCCAAAGACTGCATCACCCACCATCAGTTCATATACAAACAGGCAACAAATGAAAGGAAAAACAAACACTCATTGATTGAGAGAGCACTGTCTGATACATCGATCCAAAATCAGCTGTAAGTGTGTGGTTGTTTTGAGATCTGCTGACACCGTTTTTCATACCATTCACTTGTGCTCTATGGATGGAGGGTAAGAGATCATGCCCTTAGGATATAAATGTTACACAATAGGATGAAAGCGATCACTCAGAGCGACTTTTGCAGGAACCACTCACACTAAGGGGACAACACCATGCCAGCAAATCGTTGTCACAGCGCTGGATTTTCCTTGAATTTGTCACCTGTCAGTAAATGCAGCGATTGCCATACAGTAATTATTGCATGTTAGATTTTTTTAAAAACAAAATTCCTATTGCCTGAACTTTACTTTGCCTCAACGGTTGGTCAGATCAGATTCATCTTTAAGGTCCACATATGCTGGATGTACACTTGCCACCACCTGGCATTCATTTCTCACTCAGTAAGTAAGTTAGCCCGTGATAACAGACGAGCAGCAAGTGCTGTCAAGTGAGGATCTGGCACTATGTCAGCAGAGCTCGATGGGAGAGTTGGCCTGTGGCACCAGTTACAAAACTAGACACTTTGATTCAATGCTGGTGAGCAAAAAACAGGAAGTGCTAAATAAAGGGGCACCTGTCTAACCAAGTTCAAGCCTATTGCAAAAAATAAACAACCACACAAGTCAGAACTTTAATATTTAGCTGACATTTACACATCAGCACTTGTGAGAAACTATGCATCACTTTTGGAGGAAGCGCCCAACTTTTAACATGACCCTGCCTGCCCTGATCACTATGTAACTGAGCACAACATTAACAGCTGACTCATTCATTTCTAAAACAGACAAACAAGCCTGACTAATAAGACTCATTAAACCAAACAAAGGACTATATGAGCTGTACTGCTCAGTTGGGATAGTCAACCGGTTAAACCAGGGCCGCTAATAATCCACAAATTAAATGTCAGACTGCCACTCCCGGCAGAGGCTCATTAAACAACCTGTGAAACGTGAAGTACTTGAGCAAAACAAACAAAAACAAAACACGTCACACCCTGCGAGGGTGTGTGTGTTGTGGAAAGTATGTCCGCAGTGTTGAACAGACGGGGCTGACTGCGGCCTAGCGCGTACAGGACGTGCCCACGGCCCGTCGGCGGTAACGTGCTACGGTCGGTGTCCCCGCATCCATGCGCACTGACGGCACTCGGGTCGAGGGCCCTCCCGGTGAACAAATTCAAGCTCGTGAGGCGAAACCACGGCATTAACGGCGCTTTAAACTCGCGTAATGTTAAAGCAGACCTCCGTGGGAACGACACCCGTTATCCCAGCCCCGTGTTTTGGCCGGTTACACGCCCACAGACGTGGAAATTGATTGAAATGTGGCCCGCTGCTGTACAGTAATGACTAAGCTAATACTCGTGATGGCTACTGAGGAGCCGCTACTTTCATCAAGTTGAGTTGCAGCCGGTGATAAAAGCCATAAAGTCAATTTAATTATCTAATTCAGCCAAGTCTTGTAGCACTTGGAGCAACGACAAAGGAGGTATTTGTTTTCCATTTTAGCTTACAACCCAGCGTGGAGCTTCAGTGAGGAGCACGTACATCATGATGTTGTGGTCCAAACAGTAAATACTTGATGGTGGGCGTTGAACCGGCCATACATCATGTTAGGCTTTGACACAGACATGTGCATAGGATAGCTCATCTGCTCAGGCGCAAACACGCCCCGTCTATTGGATGTGTTGATAAGGAACTTACCCTTGTGGTAATGCTTCTCCTCTGTTGTGTTTCTTATCAGCCTTTCCCCCCCTTAGATCCTCCTTCTCTCTGTATCTCACGGCTCGTCTGGTCGGGGTCTGTTTCCTCCTGGGTTTGCGATGTCGCCCACCCCCTTTTTGAGCTATCTTTTTTATTCCTCAGTCATTCCAGACGTGTCCGCTGGCCTCTCCTCTCCCCCTTTGCCTGTAACCCAGATGGTGGTTTACCTCGTACAGAGGTACACAACCGCTACTGAAGTCAGCCGCCGGGCCGAGAAGAACCAGAGCCCTGAACCCAGCTGTGTCTGCCTGTACCCTACACTCCACCTTCTCTGTCTCTCTCATCCAGCTCCCCTCCGCTGGCACGACATTTAAACAGCCTCAACGCACCACTTCCTGTTGGAGCTGTCACAATAAAATAATCATTCATATAAAACCTTAATACAGTATTAGTCAATATAAAAATATTTTTTTTTTTTTTTTTTTTAAGAAAATAAATAACCTTGCTCATTGGAAATCCAGTTAAATTCTTGTTCATGTGTATTTTTGTGTGGTTGCAATTTTAGTTCTAAATTAATTAATAACACAGGGTCTCAGCTCTATTATTTATTACAGTCAGGTGAAGTTTTTAATTTATTTGTTTAATCCTTAATATTTAAATTCACATATAACTAACGCTTTAAAGTCTTATCCTCAATGCAGCGATCTTATTTCTCTACTTTAAAGACTTCCAGTCCAGCACTGGTCCTTTGAATGTTTTATATAAATAACATGACTTGCACTTTACATACAAACAGAATTTAACACACACACGTAAAACAAGGATGAAAAACAGTAAAACCACTTCCCCCACATTTTCCCAGTCCCCCAATTAAACTATTATTAATATTAAGGATGACACAATAAAAGCAGGGACGGAGCAAATGTAGTTTAAAGCATGTTTTACATTTTAGTCATTACCATGATAATTAATGAAGCAGATCTCTTGTCATTGATCATGCATGGTAATATTTTGATCTCAAATATCAATATTGGTTTGTAAAGAAACGTATTTGCAACACTGTAAAGAAGAAACTAAAGGAGAAAGAAGATTGCAATATAATCAGGCTCTAAAAATGTATTATATTTGTCTGTTTGTTTGTATATTTTAGTCAGGTTAATGTTTTAAACACTCTCCTTTTCTATTACCATCTACACTGCTATTCTGAATTTATCTATTTTTGTATTTTAGTATATTTTCAGACATGTTCTTATAACTGTCCCCTTAAAGCTGAACCCTTAAAGCTGCATGTTTCTACTTGTAGTCAGCAGTTATCACCATTTACATGCTTTTATTTTTAAAGAAAAATATGGAATAAAATATTTTATTAAAAAAGAATAGAATGGGAAACATGCTTAAAACTATTTCATCCCTCCTTTGGCTGATACAATAACAAGGTTTATATTGAAGGTAACGTGCCATGTTTTCCGGTTTTCTTCTGGCTAAATCAAAGTAGCTTGATGCTGCTTTCATAGAAATTGCCAATGAACCAAACCATGGCAATTCGGCCCACTCTGCGCATGCGTGGCTTTTCATTCAGCATGGATCACTCAACGCTGGTCTTGTTTACTTCGTCTGGAGCAGTTAGTGTCCGTAAACCGGTTTGTACTGTTTAGCCAAATATTTTACAGATATCTTCAGAGGTTTTACAATGAATGAAAACGAATTTAAATTGCACAAAGTCATCTGCCAAATTCCACAGCGATGGTGCCTTCACTTGCAAATTACAGTAAAACATTTCTCATCCAGGTACAACCAGATGCAGAACCTTGAACAGAATCTTCTAAGACTTTTCCCTGCATCACTGTAAACGTTCTTAATCCACAGTTTCAGTGTGACTATCTTGTCAGCATGCATCTTCTGTATTTCTGTCATTCCCTGTTCGTAATAATTACACTTTTAATCAGACTCTTCTTTCTTTCCAGAGGCCCATGACCTCCCTCTGTGAACAGCAAATGGTTTGGTTGAAACTGGCTGTTCTCAGAGCTTCAAGGTTAAATTTAGTGCTGTGAAACCAGAGTCTTGTGATCTGTGAGGGCCTGTGGTTAAAGGCACAGTTAACCCCTGAAATTAAAATGAAGATAATGCAATCAGATGAAACCTTATTGAAGTTTGTGGACCACCAAATCTGCAGTGACCTCACCATCACGGCAACAGTCTTCAAAAGTACAGGTCATCGTGGAATGTCCATCAAACCTCTCTAGAGCCTATCCAGTCAGTCAAATACAATATGGAAGATGATTTTAGGATTCTTTCTTTGCTTTGCTGTGCTGAGTTCAGAAAAGTAATTTATGGTCAGTGGTATCTTTGATCACAGTGTACATAATATTTTTTCAATAACCTGCTTTGAAAATAACAAGCAAATGACTCATTATATAAAACCCTGACATGGAAATTCCCTCTTTGGCTGATTTACATGAAAAACAGTGCCAACATCTCCACCATTAAATCCAATGCATAACATTGTAAAACAGTGTTTCCCTCCCCCTACTGGCTGAAAGCAGGATTTGTCTCATGATCAACAGGTTGAGGCAAAATTATTTTGGCAGGTCTGGGCATATTAATACAACTGATCATGGTCCCTCTATGGGAAAAAGCAGCAACTAATCAGAATGATTTGTTTTAGCAGTGAAGAAGCTGTGTTGTTAACAGTAGTCTGTACAGTATCACTGCAGCATCCTACATGGGACAATAATTATTAGATCCATCATTTATGAAACACTTGGAATACAAAACCCCATGTACGCACCACTTTACCAGCAGATTAAATTGTAAAAATGAGTCAAATCATTCACACTTTTTCAATGTAGACTTTATTTTTCTGTTTCATTGAACACAAACTTGCTTTTCTCATTAGCATCACATAAATATGTGGCATAACACTGTTTGTTGTTTTACTATTACAGTGGACTGGATCTGTTTTCTATGGTGTGTTATAATGGGGATTCTTACATTAATAATCACTACAGAGCATAAAAGGTTTTTATGCTTATTTTGTTATATATATATATTTTTTTTTACCAATCCTGCTAAAAATCTTTACTTATGCATAGCTCTCAACAGCTTATGAGCAGCATACATCACCAATTCCCATCTTCTTCTTCTACTAACTAATAACATTATTATATTTTTATAGGTCAGATTGTGTTACATGTTATATTAGAAAGCATAAAATATCCGCCCTTCTTGGAAAGCAGTTCTTCTGGTACATTTAAAAACATATCCACTCCCAAAATGGCTATGAAATATGAAAATCCCATCATAAATACACAAGTATTTAAAACACATTCACCTCATATCATAAATCAAATAAAGGTTATATATTTAGCACATTTTAAGACAATCAAAGTTTAACAAAGTGCTGTATATGTAAGACAGGCAACAATGAAATAATGTGCAAAGAAGCAAGGTTGAAAACAGGATAAATGCTAATAACATTTTTTTAAAATATGAAAAATATCAAAAATTCTTATCTATAGGTTTGAAAGGCATGATCTCTTTAAAAAAAATGACAATGACACCATTTGTCAGAGCCAGACACTGCAAAAGAAAGTCACAATGCTGATCCTTGAACATATTGCGCGACGTGAAGAAAACTGACGACATGTAAGCTTGAAATTATTCTATTTCTTCAAAATCACTTTATTCTATGAGTTTGCACCATATTCTATTACAGAGAACAGAGAAGGGACGGAAAGAGAGACTGAGAGAAAAATGAAACGCGCACTTGTTCACTAAATAAAAAAATCACATCAAATGCAGCATAGCTTGAAAACGGTATAGGAAAAGCTAGTTGTTGCAAAATACAGTCAGGATGGTGAAATATCCTTTTAGAGTTGAGGTGCAGAGT